AGGATGTTCACGTCTCCTTCTTAAATAAGACAGCTGACGTGACAGATGCACTGTACACCCTGAAATAGCAAAGCCTGCTGCTTGATATTGTTGGGCTGCAGGACATCTTCACTAAAGGTGAAAAGAAGGTTTGGCAACAGAGGGCTCAGGTAAACCAGAGCTGACAGGGTGGTTTGGATTAATAGATGGATGGACAGACAGCTGGTGATGCTGAACGTTTTTTGGCCTTCTCTTCGTGTTATGTCACCGTGTTTGGCTCACATTGCCGGGCTGAAATGTCAATTTAACATGAGAATAAAAGAAGATGTTTTAAAAGGGGCTTTCAATAAAACAAATACACCCCAGCAAAGCACATTTGTCGATGTCTGACAGTTGAATTGAATGATTTTCATTGCAGGTGTGCTTTTCTAAAGCCTGCTATTTATTTAGTTCATGGTTCCATCAATAAATTGTAGCTAGAAGTGTTGAAAACAATCAGATGCCTGATGTTTTTTTATTTTAGCTGGATTTGTCATTTGTTGTTCATCTTTAGCTCAGTGTCACTGCAGCCCATCCTGAACACACACTGCCGGGTCTTAATTTCACTCAGGTAATCTGGTAAAACAAAAGTGTAAACAAAAAGGTTTTAAACATGAAGTCAACAGAAATCCAGGTGACATTTTCAAACTTGTGTAAAAGAATTAGCTTTTTTCATATTGGAAGGCTTATAATGATTCAGTAATGAATGGTCTTTATTTAACTTATTATGCATTTTGAAATGCTGCATAAAAGAGCCAATGGAAAAAAGTTATTTAAACTATGAGCACATAATGGTGACATAATGGAGCTGAATCAGGTAGCAATATAGCTTTTAAACTGCAAAGTAGAGTAGTTTTATTCTCTGAACAAAACATTATCTGACAGAGTAAAAGACTTTAAATTTTGGAGTTTTGTTGTTCTTCTACTTCTCTCCTCCTTGGTGAGGGCACTGCAGATAAAGTGGTTACATACATACTCTTCACCTCCCTCATGATGGGTTTATGCTGTGCTGTGCCTTAGGGCACTTTAAGGAAAAGAGACAACACTGGTAGCACTGCTGAAAGTGCCAGCATGACCCATTCACAGATATTAGCCTCAATGGCCTGGATAAGATGCCATGTTAAACCCCTGCTGTGTGTATGTCTGTGTGTTTGAATGTGTCAGCCTCTTAGGATTCCATGCTCCTTTAACCGTGGGCCGACCCCCAGCGGTGCCTTACGTCTTAATCATTCCAGGGGCGTGCAGGAGACAATGCCTCACTGTTTGTGACAAGAATATAACCGGGTAGGTCTGACAGCTCAGTCCACGGTGTTGGTGCATGTGTGTTTACATTCAGCTCCTGTTATGGTCCAGTAACGGCATGTGAATGGGACTTTCATCATTAAAGCATTTGCCGTGCACTGCGAGGGCCGGAGATTGTCTCATCAACGACAAGAGGGAGGGCTTGTGAAAACCCTGACCTTGCTCCCGCTTTCCTCTCCCTTCTTTCTGCACACCTGATTGATTTCTGCAAAAAATACCAAATCACACACGCACCTCATGGCAGCCATGTCAGAGGTCACATCATTAGTGACATTATGTTTCTACTTAAAGCATACATTTACCCAGCACTACCCTCATCAACGTCTATCTCTACATCTATTTACTTCATTGCACTGCGCTCAGATAAATGGTAGGTAGAGGCTCAAAGGCAGTGTTTAAAAAAAGTGTTTAACATTACATAAGGCTGCTTCTGCTACAATTAAAATATGTTGAAAAATCTGGCAGCGGGAAATCACACAAGACAGACCACGAGTAAAAAGTATTTTTGTCTTTATCCCAATACACCAGCAGGACTGTCCTTTAAGCTTGTGTTATCGTTCTGTGTTGAATCTACGCAGAGCCTACACAAGTGGCCAACACCGTTGGAAGCATTTATGCTTGTGCCTGAAGTGTCTGTGTCATTCTGCAATTGCTCCCTCAAAACGCTAGTTTGTAAGGGTGTTCCTGTGCCACTGTGTTGTGTTTCTTCACCACCTACTGACAGTGGCGACTGAAACTGAGCAGGTCATGTTGGAGTTGAAACTAATAGATGTTGGACAGCAGTTACTTTTACTGAATTTATTGCAACGCAGATAAGAGACAATTTGTTGGAGGACCAACCACTGAACCAACTGAGAGGGAACGTGGGGATGGGGGGGTCTCCTCGCTTGTCTGGCCACTGATAGACATGAATGAGAAAATGCAATGCAACCTATCACAGTTGTCTGTGTCACCATGACATGTAGTTACGTTTCTGGAGAGGAGCCCTGAACCAGCAGATCTAAAGAGTGTTTACCATCATGACTATAGATAGGAAAATTAATTCTGCATTGTTCATATGCAATTAATTACAAAGAAATACACATTTAATGCTCCGTCCAAAGCCAAGGTTAGTCCTGTAACCATATACAAAACTAGAAGTTCTTGTTCAGCTAAAGCAATGCCACAGCTCAACACGCCTCACTATAATTTCTTGCACTCTGCAACAGAAAAGATGTAAGTTTTGTTTTTGCACCGGCTGCTACAGAATCCCCTCCAGTCTTTTACCCCCATATCCCCACCTTCCTCCACAACTAGTACAGCGGGTAGGATGCCAGCTGATGGCACCTTTGTCTGAGCGGTGCTGCGTGCTACCAGGAGACCTGTTTTATTCCTTGCAGTAGCTTGTCATCTATCATTACTGGAGGTGGCCTTGAAAATGATTCCGGCAGACAGCTCCGGCTTACCATCTGGGGGCCCAACGCAAACAGCATGCTGCTGGGAAAACAAGGGTGATAATGACCATTACTTCCCAAGGTATGCGGATTTAAAAAAAAAGAGAGAGTAAAAAAACATTGTGCTGTGTTAGATCTTCAATCCAACATGCAGGATTTTGTAACTAAAAAGATGTTATTCTTTTGTGCTCTCACACACTGCTGTGTGGATTTAGGGCACATACAGGCTAAGAATGTCTGGAGGGGCTTTAACAAACTCTGGATCACACACTCTTTTAAGTTAAAATGAGAACAGCAGCATTGAAACTTGCCTCTGCAACAAACAATCACACCAGGGCTGCCTGAAAATGCATGCCTGTGTACTACTCCAAACTAAATGTGGTACAGTTTGTTTGCAGTAAGAGCAGCCATACCAAGAAATGGAAAAACTTCACACCACTCCAAGCTTTATGGGCATACAGAGACGGAGGATGACACCTTATAGCCGGCGGGTAACCGCTTGCTATCAGATACTCCCACAGACATTTTCGATTAGTGGGTCAAAGGGTTGAATGCAGTGTATCAAATAGTATTACTCAAAAGTTTAAAGACATTTCTTGAGATATTCACTGAAGGTGAAAACAAATACAAAATCTGTAAAGAACATGTTGTGCTTACTTTGTTGCAATTAGCTGACATTTCTAAACAACAACCAAAGAACACAGATCATAATGTTTTTTTTTTTTAAGCTTCTAGTTTCATGCCACAATACATCTGAGTTAAACTGGCAGGTTTGGTTGTTGTACAGTTCAGGCAGGATCAACTCTGAGCTACAAGGCTAGCAGGAACTGAAAGTGACAACACACAATACGTGTTTAAATATGGGCCTCCCCTAATGCCCACATCAGAAAGGTTTGGGAAGAGGGGGGTTTCAGATGCTGAAAACACTTCAGTTGGAGGAGACTGGCAGAGGTAGGAAAACCCTGGTGAACAAAAACCTGATCTTATGCTCAAGTGGTCCTCATCAACTTGTATATTTTGGGCCTTCTGAAATTTACCACAACAATTTACCCACACCCGTCCACAATCCCCCACCACCAACCCCACTTCCTAGAGGTGCCAAACTTTTGCCCCTGGAATTGGTCTCCAAAGCAAGTGGAAGGCAGTGGCAACAAAGGCAGAGATAAAGGATACAAGTTCCCTTATGGGTCGTTGGGTTCCTATAGTGGAACAGGCCTAAAAATATAACTCCGACAGCTCAGACTAGGGAACACAAGCTGCAGGTGTGACCACAGATGAGCCTTTTAAAATGCACGCAGCACTATGTTAAATTGCCAAACTGTGAAAGCTGAATGCAGCCTCAGCACTGGATGACACAGGCTGCGGTACGAACAGCCTTCCACAAACCAAACACCACTGAATGACTTTACACCTGAAGCCCCCCCAGTGAGCGCTGGAGCCCAGCAAAGAGTGCACATAATGAGTCCTGCTCACCAGTGATACACTGACCCAGGACAGACAACACAAACACACACATTAACACCTGCACAGGCAAAGCTCAACACCCACACCTCCCCACGAATGAGCCTGTGGCGCCTGGTCACCTCATTCAGGGATCAGGGGCAGTATGTCGTTCTAATCAGTCCTCGCAGTGGGTAACCCCATTAATGCAATTCTTTTTCATCAGAGATGAGCAGACCACCAGAGGGGTCTGTGCATTCCTAGGGTCCAGGAGTAATCCCGTCTTTTAATGACCTGGGATCAGACTTTAACCCCATAATTGCTTTCAAAACCAACTTGGTTTTGTTTACTGGTGGAGGGAAAAAAAAAAAAAAGCACAACTCAGATATAGCTCATTGTCTGGACACGGCAGGGAAGTCTAGAAGAGTTAATGGCACCATATATCAAATAATTCCAAATGATCAAGCCCCCACTAAACAAGAACACATAGGTCTGTGGTGCACAGTAAGCTGTATCAAAGGATCAAGTACTGCACATTAAGACTGGAGAATTAGAATGTCAGGTTGTATTAGAACACAAATTAGTATTCCTCTCATGAATAAATTAATTTGTACTGTTATAATAATGTTAGTGAATTACAAAAAGACAACTGTCCAAAATGGGAAGACAAAGGCAACATTAAAATTAGGCAACATATGAATGACTCATCTTTTATTGTATTTTTGTATCGTGCCGTGTGGCATGTCTGTGGCATAATAAAATGTTTATTGGGACATAAGATAATGAGCTTTTCATAACTTACTGTACCTTTGGTCTCTGGTGGATGGGGAAGCTCATCACAGACAAATTAGATCTTCTGAGTATTGCCGTCTACACCTGCAGAAACAATAACACTTAGTGAATATGGTGAGGCTTTCAAACAGAAAATGAAATGGAAAATGTCTAATTCTGGCCCTAATCTCCTCGCGCTAGCCATCTGTTAATGATAAAAACAACAAAAAATAAATAAATAAAAGTCAGGCAAGCCTTCACTCAAAAGAATGGAAAAAAAAAACATAACTCATTCAAGTGTGGAACAGTTTGCATCAAGAGATTTATTAGTGTGATGTTGGGCCCGGAGAAGAGAGAAACGACGCCACAGAGACAAAACGCTTCTGAGGAAAAGCTTTCAATAACTCTCCATCTGTCCTGAGAGAACGTGGAGGTCAAAACAAGATAATTCAGCAGCGGAAAAGGTCAAACTGAAGGCATATGGTTTGAGTTGGAAAAGCTCCCAGGGCTTGGTGACAAATAAAACATTACTACTATTATATGCAAAGCTGAAGGCTCTGCTCTTTTTATGACGACAAAGGAGGAGGGTTCACATGGGAGGCGACACTTCAAAGGCCCTCATTGTCAAACGCAACAACAGCTCTGGTGTTCATAAAGACTGCGATCATCTGACTCCTCCACTGTGGCAGCCTCTGGAAGTCACCGCATATTGCTCTTTGTGCATCTCAGAATGTGTTTGAGAGCCCATGCTTCTGTTGAAATCAGTGCATAAGGGCTTTTTTTTGTTTTTATCACTTTGAATTATAATTTAACCAAAGTAAACAAAATAAAGATCACATTCTGAATCCTTCCGAAGTTCGGCTGATTTTTCTCATTCCAAATGTACCATAGCCAAACTCAAGATCACACTTGAACTGAAGCTAATGATCGAAAAATGTATTAAAGATAAAGTTTTGGTAGAATCCCTTTACCATGGAGGAGCAAGGTGCTTTCTCTCTAGACTTTAACAACCATACAGACAGACAGAGATCCATCACAGATCACAAAGAGAAACAACTCTCAGGCCCCAGAGGAGCCTCCACAAACCAGAATGCAATGCAGTCACATTCGCTTTAAAGGCTGTGATTCTTGCCATTTTTTTAAGCTCCAAATCCTCTTGCTTTGCTTTCACACGGATAACTGCTTTTTCTTTCTACCTACACATAACAGAGCGCCAATTCTCAGGCACACTATGGGGTGGGGGGGAGGGTCTCGAGTGTCATTCTGGGAATTGTAGGCAATCTCTTACTAAAGTAGATGAGGCAGTTTGACAGAAAACAAAAAAGTAGATCCATCCGTTGTCATATTTTCTTCCTCTTCTGCATATTTAACATACAGTAGAGGAAGAATCCCAGAGTGGCTGTTTTTTCTTCCATTAAAACTCCCATGACGCCATCTTTGAGCAAGGCACTGACTGACTGACTTTGATTAAGCTAGGAAAAGTAGAAATATATCCTTTTTTTTTTTAGCCACAAAGTTTTCAAGATCATTTCTTCCAGTGAATCCTGGACAAGATGGAAGCATAGTTTCACATAAAATAAACTAATTCCACCAGTAAAAATACAAATATTAAAAAAAATAAACAATACAAGTGGAAAAAATACAAATAAAAGTAAGCAGTTTATCTGCATGCCTTTGAAATAATCCTCTGACGATGCAGACAGTTCTCAGAATGGGCTGCAGAGCACATACATCACACCAGACTTTATAGTCTGTAGATTCTGACTGCATTTTTCTTTCTAAGATGAGATATGGTATATGAAGGTATTTTTCTTGAGTTCCATTGAGATGATTGTGCAACAATGGAAACGGCTACGTTGCCAAATCTTCCATGAGAGGATGATAAAAGACAGTAACTCATTTCTTTCCACCATCGGTTTATGAAGCTAAAACATTTCTGCTGATGCATGGAGAGCCAGCCTAAAAAAAAAGCTGTGACATATGGCTGTTTATGTAATGTGCCAAAATAACCCTATTGCCAGATCTCATTTTAATTTAAAACTTATCTGTGCATATTTTCGAAATATTTAAAAGGATATTATAACTGAATACATTGTTCTGCTACCAGCTCAAGTGTTACTTATAATGTAAAATAATAATTAAACCTATAAAATCACTAATGATAAATCTTCAAACAGTACATTTTATAAATGCTCAATAAAGCAATAGCTTAATGTAGCAAAAATCAGTATGTGAGGGTTAGGGTTGCACACAGAACAATAACTTACTGGGTTTATGTCGTGGAGCTATTAAAGGGGTGTATAAACCTATCTGCAAACCTCTGGTGGGCTTCTCTAATCACAGAGTTGTGCACCTTTTGCCAAAACCCGACAACAAAGTTACCCAGAGCCTACAAGGCTACTTTTTTGTACCGACTGGACTATTTTTCAGGATATTAGTAGAAAATTGTGAGGATTCTGTAATCACCTCAAAAACTGTAAAAATCCAACAGGTTAATAAAGAAATTACTGGTAACAAAAAAAAAAAACACGAGACCTAATGACTAGGTAATGTGGCTGCATGAAAGAGAGAAGTGAACTTTGCTAATGAAAAGTAAAATTATAAGGAAAGACTTGAGGGTGCACTGGGTTCAAATAATTTGAGAGCAACTCAGAATGGTATGAAATCCATGGTCGGGTTGCAGAACAAAGGCAAATCTAAAATGTGGTGAATACTGATGGTGGCATGCAGACAAAGATCTAGTACATGAATTAAATAAGATTTTTCTTCAGCTTGATAACCATAGTTTTAGTGCCAAAATCAAAGAGAGGCAGAGGAGTGTCAACGCTCAACTTGCTCAGACTGGTAATATTTTTAAACTATTTGTTAGAAAAGGCCCAGCTCTTGATTGTTTTAGAGAATTATTGAAATCAGGAGCTGAACAACACAGTGAGCCCTTTATACATACATATATATAAAACTTTTCCTTTTCATGTTTTAGTCGACAGGCTCCTCAATCATTTTAAAATGGATTTTAACATTGTGGGATGGATATAAAATTTTCTAATAAATAGAATCCAGAGGATTAAAGTCAGCTTAACATTACAAAAACTAAAGATATTGTCATTGGCTTTAGAAAGAAGCCAGCTGCTACTGTACCTACAGTCTACTGGGCATAACACAGAGCTAGTAAACTCTTAGAAATACCTGGGCACAATAATACACCACAAACTGACATTTGAAAAAATACAGATGCAGTCTAAAGAGAGAGCCAACAACATTTGTTCTTCCTCAGAAAACTTTTAGGAGTACGATGATCCTGTTTTATAGACCTGTTATTAAATCGATTTTAATTTTAACTATGGCTGCATGGTTTGCCAACCTGAACACCACAAATAAGAATTTCCAGAGTCGGACAGCGGCAAGCACAGTGAACTCACACACAACTACAGAACACAATCCAGCCACAAAGCCTCATCTGTCCTTGGTACTCCTTTATCCACAATATTATTAACCTTTTGAATCATTTTAAGTTAATTTACTGCTCTCCATTTATTCAACTACTTACTTATTTAGTTACATGCAATTCACTCAGATTAACTGATGGTCAAAATACTCAATGGTGTTTGCAAGGACTCAACCTATTTATTCATATTCTCTGTTTGTTGAATGTGTCTGCAAATCAAAATCTCCCTTCAGGACCATAAAAGTATTGAGCTGAATTGAAATCATTTCAATTTGTTTCACAGATAAGGTTGCTCTCTTGTTCACAACATGTACAGAAAAAGTTCTACCATGCCAATATCTGTAAAATTGTCCAAATGAACCCCAGCAATAAAATCATCTATGCAATTATCAATTGATTGAATCAGTTACTGTATTTAACTGTGAAAACACTTGGAAGCATAATAGATCAACTTTAATGGCGTCTCTTAATCAGAATGCTCAGCAATCAGCAGAGACCAATTAGGGCCTGAGAGACAGAGCCCTGCCTTAATAATCTAACTTGGCTGCCATCACACTGGCTCCATTCACAAAAGGTTGTTGGAAATGTTTTCAAGTGGACTTTTTGTTGTGCGTAAAGGATAGGATTGTTAAATACCCCTGACTGGAATAACCACAGTTTAGAGATTTCTCTCATAAAATCAAAAGGATTTTTTTTCCCCCAAGCAGCAGTGAATTCCTGTCCTGTCCCATCATGCACATGCTGAGAAACAGAAACTACTTGGGAAAGCTATAGAAGTACACGAAGGCCCACAGGCACCGAGCAATACCAAAAATATCTTTACACTGCCACCTTCAGCTACAGTCTTATTAAAATTATGGTCACTTTTATCATGGCCAAGTGTCTGTGTGTCTTTGAAGGTAAAAAAAACAAACACACAAACCAAGCAGAAACACTGCCCCTGATGACTGTCCAAGCTGGACTTTACTTCAATGTGATTTCTTTGTGCTTTCCTTGGTTGACAATAGGAGCAGCAATCACTTGACTCCAGTAACTAGGCTTCCATTTAAACATAGTATCAGCCATGTTCCTGTGATGACTACTTGATTTTTTTACTCTGTACCCTAGAGATGTAATGGTACCAAAAACTCATGGTGCAATACTGCCATGATATTTGCCACAGTGTTTGTTAGTTTCCTTTTCACCCGTGTCATTTCTTGAAACAGGAAAACTGAAATGCTGCTAAAAGTCGATGGAGCGTTCACTATGTCAGTTTAAAATTCTATGACCTGAGCACAGTTATAGTAGCAAAATAACCACATGTAATATCCTGGTGGATACCATCACAGCCCCATGACACTAGACATTTTTCTATTGCAAAATTACAAATCTCGTTACATCCCTACTGTACACTAAAATTAACTGTCCTATTTTGATATTTATGTGACACACTGACACGCTGTTAAAACGATTGTGGTGATAAAATTTGTCACCATCCAATGACAACAGCGGGAGCATAACAGCAAAAAAGACAGATGGTTTTATTTATCATTTCTTGCCAAATATTGTGCAGTAATTACCAAGTACAATTAACGACCCTGGTCATTGTGCTGCAGGTATTTATATGGGAAAATAAAAAAAAAACACTGCCAACATGAATAATCAACCATGGAGTACATGC